ACAGATCTTTATTTATTTGTTTGTTGCTTTGTTTGTTTGTTTATTTATTGCTGCACCTGGCAGTGCTCAGGGATCACTCCTGGTGGGCTCGAGGACCAGATGTGGTACTGTGGATTCAACCTGGCTGGGCCACATGCAAGGGTAGTGCCCAACCCACTGCACTATCTCTCCAGCCCCTCAGGTTCTTAAGTTTATCACAGCTTTCTCATAGAGCTAGAATCACAAGAAAGAACATTAATATGTTCAACAAATTTAAAACTTGCATGCCTTAAGCCTATTTTCCTTTATAAAAAAGGCGAGTCCTCATTAAAATATCACCTACCTAGTTTCTCAAGCATCTTGGTAAAATAATATCAATAACTGGACTGAAAAACTCTAGGAAAAAAAGCCAAAAATAACACTCTGGAAGGAATAACAAAAAAGTAGAGAGTAGGGTATTATTAAAAGAAAATAGAAACAAGTAAAAATGTGTAAGCCTGAAGTCAAATGTGTGGCATCTTACTTCAGTGGCAATGAACGGGTGTCAGTTTACAGTCATTTTGTTAAGAGAAAGGTGGGAGATGTGGAGTAGATTATGAGCTCAGACTAAAATCTGTCTCATCAGTTCACAGTCATTTCTGGTCTGAAAATTCACGAGTCTCATATCACCCTAATATGCATCCTGACATTTAAGAAAGAAAAAAAAACAGCTAGGTTTTTGTGGGTTTTTTTTTTTGCTTTTTTTTTAAATAATTATTTTGGTTGTCAGCAAAAAATAAATTTTCAGTCAACTTGCAAACAAAGAATCTTCAAAAAAGAACTACATTGCATGCTGTGTCGTGAGAAATGAGTGTGCCTTTTCTTCTGTCTGAACAGCGCGTGTGCAGGAGCATGTGGAGACATATGCTCTGTAGCAAGCATCCGGTCTGTTGGTGCCTGTGATATCACAGCAGCTGAGTATTTGTAATATCTCCTCTGGTTCTACCATTACACTGCCAGGAGCCCCTCTGCCAGACCAATGCTCCAGCCCATAAACGTGCATGGAGGGGCCAGAAGCAAGCATGCCCATGGCACGTGCACATGCCATGCAAAGCTATCTAACCACTGATGGGTTCTGAATGATAACTCCTGTCTACAGGTGTGAGTCTGAAAGAAGTACTCCTAAGTACTGAAGGAACTACTTGTTCTTAGGCATCGGTTTTGTAAGAATATACCAGAGCTGAAAGACTGCTATCTCCTGTTCACTGCAGAAATTTTCTCCACGATAGATAAACCCCATCAGCTCCTGCCTGAACATTTCAAATACAGGAATTTCTCATTTTGGTTTGAATGCGAAGGATGTTCTGCTACTGAACTGCCGGGCCAATATCTGGCTCCTCCCGTTCTGGGTCCTACATAAGCAATTTTGAAAATCTAGCTCTCTGCTTTTCCCCTAAGCTTTTTCTTCCAAAGTGCTTTCTTCCAAGGTCCAAGGGCTACTTCGGAGTTCACTTGGGCCTGGGATTTCTCCTCTGCTCCGGTCCTGTATTCACTCTGTCTTTTCTAGTTTTGTGTGAGGAGTGGGGCCCTCTCAAGCAGTACTCAGGAGGCTCTAGGACCCCTCCCAGCGGTTCTCAGTCATCTGGGCTAGAGGTTCAATGGGAGGGTCCAAGATCACAGCACTGCTCGGACCCTGTGGCAATGCTGGAGGCCTCCAGGGCTGACCCAGCAGTGCTGGGGTGGAGGTGGAGGACACGATGCTGAGGATTGAACCAAGGTCAGCTATGAGCTGGGCAAATTCCTTACCCCTTGTACTATCTCTCCAGCCCTCTTTTGGTCCTGTATTTTTAACTATGTCTGAGATAGGGGTCATTACATTTAAAATGACATCACTCAGTATGCTTTCACTTCTTTAAACTCCCTTCCAAACATATACACTATCAGTGATGCTCATTTTCTCTCTTTTTTAAAACTCAGTAAGAGTATAGTTATTATACATATCAATATCAGAATACTTCATAGAATCTGTATGTAGAACTTTGCATTTGCATCATGCTTATTTTCTTCTGCATCTCAAATATAGACACTTCAGAACTTCTTTTACCAGAGGTCTCCTACAAAAGGCCCAGTAATGATGATTTTCTGATTTTGTCGTCTGAAAATATCAATTTTGCCTTCTTTGTTAAAGAATATTTTTTGCTGGATATGGAATTTTAGGTTGATTGCTCTTATCTTTCTGAAAAGTTCAGGCATCACTCAGCTGCCTTTCTCTGCTGCTATGGAGATATCAGAGGTTGGTCTCTATTGAAACCATGACCCATTTTACTTGTAAGATCTTAAAAGAGGGGTATTTACAGTGTATGGATTTGGGGTGGGGTCACACCTGGTTGTACTTAGAGTTATTCCTGGCTTTGTGCTCAGGGCTTTGTGCTCCCTGAGAGTGCATGGGGAACCATGAAGACCTGGGGATTGAACCCAATCTTCTGCAAACAAAAATCATGTTCGACCTTTTATGCTATTTCCCTGGCACCAATGTATGGTTTAAAACAAAAATTTTTCTAGGGATTCACTGGGCTTCTTTAATCATTGCCTCTGCCTCATTCTCTTTCCTTTTCTAATGTTCCAATTAAGTGCCTACCTTGGAGGGACGGAAGCAGGAGTGGGGTGTGGGGGGGTGTGTCGGGAGGGTAACTGGGGTCAGTGTTGGAACACTGTATGACTGAAACCCAATCATGAACAACTCTGTAACTGTGTATCTCATGGTGATTCAATTAAAAACCAAAAACCACAAAACCCTATCACACTTTTCTGCTTTTCCACATAACTGCATTTACTTCTTCTGATTCACAAGTTGTATTTTCTATTTCCTCAAACATCATCTCCTGTAATCATTCCTTCACAACATATCCTGTTGATGGCTCTGCCTTCAAACCTCCAGCTTACTCTTGCATACATGACCCTTTTGCTATTCTATTTGGGGGCCTTAACTGTTTTATTTAAGTTAGAGGGGTTGGGATATCTCAAACTCAGTCTCTGCAAACAATAAATTAAAATTTTTAAGATCCTGAAGAAGTTAATTGTTAAGGTGGTCATCTAGCAAAGACTGTTCATCATTTCTCTCTACTTAAAAATTGTTGAACTCCTATATATATATATATATATATAACTCCAAAATAAATATATTATATATATATCCTGTTGATATGTAAGATTTTGGAAAATAGTTGTTGAATTCTAGGTCAAATAAGGGAAAACAGAATGGACAAACTATTCTTCTTTCTTGTTTTTTGATCAGTGGTGCTCAGGGGTGACTCCAAGTTCTGTGCTCAGTGGTTCTTCCCAGTGGTACTTGGGGGACCATATGTAGTGCCAGGGATCACACTGGGGTCTGCCAGATGCCAGACAAGCACCTTAGCCACTGCACTATCTCCAAGTCCATCTCTGTATTGCTTTCACAGGGCAATGTTTCTCTCTCTTACCTTTCCTGTCCCGACCTTCCACACACACAGGCAGACTTGTAGGGCAATGCGGAAATCCAGAGTAGAGAAGGAAGCACACTAAGACAGCGGAGGACAGGCTACAGGAGACGGACAGGGAGGGACAGCATGTGGGAGAAAAGAAGGAATTGTCACAGTTAAGACACTCCGTTCAAGAGAAACTCAAGCTAGTCATTCCAAAGGTGGGTTGGGGGGAGAGCTGTTCTTTGTAGCAAGGTCCTTTAAGAGGAAGAGTTTAGTTAATTAAAAAATTTGTTTTCAGAGGAACAGATTAAACTTAGCAAACAGGACAAAGGGTAAAGGATTCAAAAGATTGTCTAATCTAGGAACATTAATCAACAGATATATTTATGTGTCGAGAAAAGGAAAAAATCAGAACTATAATCCAGAGGTAGTTAAGAGAGTTGTTCCTTCTACAAGAGAACACTTCTGAGAATAAGGAAGAGGGATTCCAACACTCGTGTGTGAAAATGGGGAACAGGGAACATACAGTTAAGTATCCTAATTCTATGGTGTGACACTATGAAAAACAAAAATAGTCACATTTAACAACAGAGGCTTAGTCAGGGGCCAGAGAGATAGTACAGTGGGTAAGGACTTGCTTTTCACACAGCCAAACCGGGTTCGATCCTTGGTACTCCATCTGGTCCCCTGAGCAATATCAGGAGTGATTCCTGAGCACAAAGCCAGGAATAACCCCTGAGCATTGCCAAGTGTGGCCCCAAAACAAGAGCAACAAAAACAACCAAAAAAACCTTCCCAAAAACCCAACCACAAAAACCAGCGGAGGCTTAGAAACAGAACAAAGTATCCCAGTGCATTTTCACATTAGGGACAATCTTACAAATTTCATGATGTGAACTATCTCCTCTGCTCCAATAATTTCCCACCTAGATATGCAGATGTTTCATCAGAGGGAGAAATGAGTCCTTCAAATTTTGTTTTTGAGTCACACCCAGTGTATAGAGCATAGAGCATGGATCTGTGCTCAGGGATTACTCTTCGAGGTGGGGCTTGGGGACCATATGGAGTGCTGGGGTTCAAACCCATGTCAGCTATGTGCAACAGAGGCATCCTATCTGCTTTACTACTGCTCTGGCCCGACTCCAGCAGATTTATTTAACTGGACCTTCCTGATTTAGAGCCTTTCTCCTAGACATCAGACGCTAGGAAAGTATGTAGCTACTTACACTTATACTGCTTCTTTGATGAGAGGGAGTTAGTTTAGAAGAAGGTCAAAGATAGAAAAAGGGTCAATGGACAAGGAGCCTAAAAAAGGATCTTATATACAACCATTATGAAAACATTATAGGTTTTATTCTCTACATTTGTGATTCAGGCTTTTCTTTTAAACCAATGCTAAATTTCTCCAAGAGAAAGTCAGAGAAATTCGAAACGAGGTAAATGACATTTTTGTACAGACTATATTTTCTTTTAAGTAAAAAAATATATGTAAGAATGAGTTCATTTAAAACATTTAAATGATCTAATCAATTCTGATAACATCTTAATTGTTTATCCAAATTTGTTAGATAAAATGCATACCTCATATTCTTTTCTGCAAACTTTGGAAATGTCATTTTTTGAAGATGCCTAAAAGATAACAAATTTTTTCATTAATTTATTATACATGCTATTTATCACAGGACATGAAATAACACAAATTAATACATATTAATTGATGGTATAGTATTTTTTGCCTTATCAAGAAAAAAATCTTAGGTTTAAATACTTGAATGTTCCTTAAATAAAACAAGCAAGTTTAATACAATTAAAAAAAATCAGCCCCAAACCTACCTGATTTGCTAGAAGTTCAATTTAACTTTGTGAATTTAATCTGACATAATAACAGTTCTTTTGTTATTTCAGAAACTAGATGACTTTGAAGGAAATGTAAATCAAAAATAAAAAAAAACCTTTTTTTTAGCTGAATTCCACTGTAGCAAATTTTCTTGGAAGTTCTGCCACAGTAAATTTTGTTCTGAAGTCCAGCCAGGACATTCTATTTCACTGTTTTTTATAATCCTTCTGATTCTGTTCCTCTACTAATACAGGACCTAATTTCCCCCACAAAGATCCATCTATCACAGAGAGGGCACTGAACAGGGAATGGTTATGATGGACAGTTAACAGACTATTTCTCATGCCATTCTCTTAATCAAGTTTATGAAGATGGTATCATCCTCCCCACAGATGAGAAAACAGACGCTCAGAGAAAGAGCAAGTTTTTTCTCATTCAAGTGTGGGTTTCTCTAGGAAACACGCCCAAGCAAAGCTGCTGGGACGTGGTTTGTGTTCCACATTGTGCCACACCCCACATAGAGAAGAGGTTCCAGAGTCACAGGGGGCCGGGGGTCTTTGTTCCAGTTCCTTCCTGTGCTAACAGGTCAGCTGCTGAGGACAGGAAGAGAAGAGGCAGAACTGACAGAAATGCTTTGTGTCCCACTAGATACGCCACGGCTAGGCTTCATTCCTGGGCCTGCACAACCACTGGCAAGCCAGGCTGTGTACTGCCTAGAGGACCACTCTGGAAACGCACACAGTGGCATGGAGTGAGGGGGATACCGAGAGACCAGTCACTGGAAGGAAAGCAAGAGAAGTCGTTCCAGCTGTTTCCGGTTTCCGGTCTGTCCGTGTTTCCCCCAGGCAGTCTATTCTTTGCCTTTGGGTAGAGGAGCTGGGAGGTATGTTTCCCCCTCCCAAAGCTCCCTATGGAGGAATCACGATGAAAATAAATAAATGCAGTGAGAAGAAACGGAGCCGAACTGGAACTGGAGCCTGAGACAGAGGGAATCCAAGAGCAGTCCCACCTCACTGCAGAGGCATGCCCACCGCAGGAGGGTGGGGGCGCCAGGACATCCTCAGGGCAAACCCCAGGACTGAAGAGCAAAGGAGTGGTGAAGGGCAAGACAAGCCACTGTGTGAACTGCCCTTACCAACTCTGCCCTGAGTGAACATGCCCACCTGGGTGGGTGGACAACACTAACTACGCAGTGACAGGTGGGGCGCAGAGGGCCTGGAATCTGAGAACAGTCTTCCTTGATGCAGCAGAGAGGAGGTAAGAAAGAGTGAGACAGAGGGTCCTACGTGTTGGCATCCATAACTGAAAATGCCATCCGAAAGAAAAGGGGTCTGTGCAGGAAATGCCAAATGGGGAGCTTTTATGGGTCACCCTTTCCAATGGTCAGAAGTCGGACTGCACCTCCTGCAGGGGCTGCAGTGCCTCCTCACCCCGTTACCTGCTTGCATGCCTGTCGGCACTCCAAGGTAATGGCCAGTTCACAGCAGCCCAAGCCAACCCAGCCATCAGACTTCTTAAACACACCTTAAAAACAAAATGTTCACATGTTTTTGGTCAGCAGTGGGGTCACACACAGACAGGGGCAGAGGCCACTGAAAGTCAAGGCAGGGGTTGACAGGAAAATGGGCTCTGATTGCAGAGATGGAACTGTGAGATAGCCTCTCGCCCTGTTCCCCAGGCTACAGCCTTGGACAGATTCCTCCACTTTTCCTTTTTTTTTTTTTTTTGCTGCCTTCTCCCTGCCTACCCTAAGCTCTTTTTAGGACATTCTCACTCTTGGGAAGGTGAGAACTTTCCTGCCTTTAGAGAGAATCAGAGGTATCAGAGGTAAAGATTTCGATTTGACTGAACATGCAAAAAAAAAAAAATGGGCAGAAGTTTCATTTGATTAAGTGTGATTATTTAGTAAACATTTATTCAATGTGATTTAAAAAGCATCATTTGATTAAAATGTGAAGTTTCTAGAACAGCATTAAATTTAATGTGATGCTTGAAAACTGATGCTCAGCAGACTGACAGGCTCATCTTCTGTGAGCCAGGACTCAGATGGAATCACTGAAATATGAGGGCAAAAAATTTTCTGGCTCAATTTCTGGACTGCAGCTATTTCTCCAACCAACCACTGCAGTACCAAAAGATGACAAAATTACAAAAAGTGTCCTAATGCATTTTAAGATCACTTTTTGTAAATATTATCATTTACAAAATAAAAGAATTGTTTCTAAGAGACACATGATAATCACGAAAAGATTAAAGATTAATGCTTTTAGGTATCCTACAAATTCTTCCTTAGTTCTTCAAAAAATGCTTTCTGAGACTCACATGCACTACATGGATCTGCAAATCCATATCTGCATTAAATTATTATTTACATTTGGAAAAAGTGCCAGGTACTTAAGGCAATATAGGAAATTGTTCTCCAAATGAAACTAAGACTATAATAGAGGCTTTATGCTGTTAATAAAAAAAAAGACATAACAAGAAAAGGAAACAAAATAACTCACAGATAAAACTCTCAAAATATAAGTCACTAAATTATTATACCTTGCTAAAAATGCTGCATTTCATAAGATTCTGCTGTCCTATACGAATACAAAGAGATACCCAGGCAGTTGCATTGCCTGAAAAAGTTTCTCTAAATTTTTGTTGCTGCTATTCAAAATTACTCTCACACAGAAATGAATTTTGAATGGAATCAATAAGTCATCTGTGAACTTTTATACCATAAAACAGCGTATTGCTGTTACCACATGAGAGTTGACCTCTTAGGAAAAATTAAATAGTTCAGCAAGTCTTTACAGTTAATAAGACCCTACTTATGCACGAAGCACTCTACTAGCTATTATGCAGAATATGAGCTAGATGAAACATATAATTGGTCCTACTATGGTGATCACAGTTTGGTAGGAATAATGTATAATGTGTAGGTATACAGAGAATTTATAATCTATGCTTATATAGGTGTAAACAATTCCAGGATATTGGGTATAGATAGAATAAAGAAAATGGGCAAGTATGTACACAATTTCAGGATGGCAAATAATGGTGTTTGCTTGAAAGGCAAACTTCAGACAAGATGAAAACCTTTAGAGTCCAGAGGTACGTAAGATACATTCCCTTATTCCTAACACTGGCTTTACCCAGGACTGGAAATTGAGCTTCAATCCTAGGAGACTGTGAATGCCAGACTAGTGAGTTTGGACTTTTTCTTAATAGAAGTGGATATCCTTTGAGAGATTTTCTTTTTGAGGAGGGTGGGGAGGATAGCTATGATGTATTAAAACACCATTTATCAGGTCAATAAAATATTTTATCCCAAGATGCTAATAATGATGGCTTGGACTTGGAGTCAAAACAACAGATGCCAAGATTTTACAAGGGGCAAATTAATGGAGCTCAAAAGAAAAGCAATCAAAGATAACCCCCAAATTTTCAGTTTATAGTCACTGAAAAGAGGCAGTTGGCTCTGAGTTTGGTTTTGGATTAGCACTTCAGATGCTGACTGGATTGGAACATACAGAGTCTGAATAGCCTGGATTCGAAAGTTATCTTCCCAAAGCCGATTCATGAGAAGAACTGAAATTACAGGGTGAGTGTGGCGAGGAAAGGGAAGAGACTGCACACAACGGTAATCATGGTCCTTTGGGGAAGAAGAGGAAAAAGGGAAGAGAAGGCAAGCTCATAAGGTCAAGATGGAGTCACAAGGAGGAAATAACCAGTAGCATCCAGTGTTGCAGACAAGTGATAGCAACTAAATAATGAGAAAAAGCCATACGAGCTCCGAACAAGAGAAGCGGGTGATCTTCCGAAGACCAGTTTCAGCAGATAGAAGAGTGGAGACAAGAGTACAAAGTTAAAGATGAGGTGAATGAAAATAAAGAAGACCTTTGAAAATTTGTGTGTGAACAGGAAGAAGAGAGCAGAAACTCAAAGGTTTAAATAAAATCCTAAGATTATGACAGATTTTATAATCACAGGATATAAGTTTTCCAAAACAAAGCACAAATTTTCATACTCTGCTGCTTACCTGGCAAAGATGAATTCATACAACTCCAAATTTCCACCTAAAATCACCAAATAATAATTACCAAAAGGTTTTTATTCAGATAACAGCTCCTAACATATGATAATTTCTAGGAAATACTTTTTGGCTCAGATGGCTATGCTATGTCCAGGCATAATGTTCTAGGACTATATGAATACAAACCAGCCATTCAGGGAAGACAAACTGAGACCCTGATGAAAAAGTGTTATTCTCTCCCCATTTTCCTAAGAGCACTAAGGCTGTCCAGTCATTGGGAGGCTTGCTGGAATTATATTCCAAGCACAAAGACTCCAGGCTCTGTTCCCAAGTTCCTGAGTGTCTAAGGAAGGGGAGATTTGATCAGAAATGCAAATGACTGAATCTAAGGAGGCTTCCTAGGCATTGGAGATGGCACCAAAGACTGGAGAGTATATTTAGCATGCGGGAGATACAGGTTTGAATTCCTGTACCTGGTGGTCCCCTCAGCACTGCCGTAATGCCCAGCACTTTTTTTTTGGCCATGCTTGGCAGTGCTCAGGGTTTATTCCTGGCTCTGCCCTCAGGGATCACTCCTGGCAAGCTTAGGGGACCATACTGGATGCTGGGGATTGAACCTAGGTGTGCCGCAAATGTTCTACCTGCTGTACTATTGCTCTGGCGCTCTCCCATCAGTCTAGAGTAGCCTCCAAATACCAAAACTCAATTAAATTAAAATTAAAATAAGGTAAGGAGGCTCTCTCATGGAAGCTCAGTCTTCTTGCCTTGCCTGGCCCCTAACTATCTCCAGTAGGAATTATGGCCCAACTATTAGAGACATTTTAATACTTGGGCCATGATTCCTATTGGGATAATTAAGTTATTTCTGAAAACAAGGCAGGAAGCCATATAGTTCAGCAGGTAGGACACTGGCATTGCACACGGCAGAGCCAGTTCAATCCCTGGCACCACATAGGATCCCCCCAGTCCCGCCAAGAGTGAGCCCTGAGTATTGTTGGGTGTGGCCCAAAAACAAAATTAGAGAGAAAAGAAAAGGTGGCAGTAGGCCAAGAAAATCTGGGGACCTCTTATCTATAGTATATTATAAAATGGAGCGATAGCACAGCGGGTAAGGCGTTTGCCTTGCACGCAGTTGACCTGGGTTCGATTCCTCTGCCTCTCTCAGAGAGCCCATCAAGCTATATCTCGCCCACACAGCAAAGCCTTGGCAAGCTACCTGTGATGTACTTGATATGCCAAAAACAGTAACAAGTTTCACAATTTGTTGAGACATTACTGGTGCCTGTTCGGGCAAACTGATGAACAACACTACAGTTGTGCTACAGTGCTACATTATAAAATGGGATGATGAAAATAATAACAGCTACACTTTCCCCTTTATTCTAAATTTAACTTTTCAAAATAAAAATAATTTTATGTTTAAATTATTGAATATTTGATTCAATTATCCGAATATATTCAGCACAACTATTATGAATTTTATATAATAGTATATTATATAAAATTTAAAGACTGGAACACATTTATATGTAACATTGTTTTTAGAATAATATCATAAACCAGGGGCTAGAGTGATAGCACAGCGGTAGGGCGTTTGCCTTGCACACGGCTGATCCGGGTTCGATTCCCAGCATCTCATATGGTCCCCTGAGCTACTGCCAGGAGTAATTCCTGAGTGGAGAGCCAGGAGAAACCCCTGTGTATCGCTGGGTGTGACCCAAAAAGCGCCCCCTCCAAAAAAAACCCAAAAAGATACCAATATCATAAACCAAAGATAATACTGTACTGTATCAATTTGTGTCAAGATCTTTTAAAGGACCAAGTTAAATTCAACATTTCATATTTATTAAGTACTCCAGTCACATTTGAAGAATCATCAAATCTAAATGTAACTCATTATGGGCTTTATTTATAAAACCTTCTATATATTTAAGCTAAACCAGACTTACCATTGTCTCAGGGCAATAATCAGGAGCTCGCTGCAGCAGATGCTTCAGTCGGGATTCACTTTTTGAAGAGAATATCTGACCAAAAAAAAAAAAAACAGAGATGCAGATCAAAACAACAATGAGATGTCATTTCACACCATAGAGACTGGCCCACATCCATAAGAACAAAAGCAACTGGTGCTGGCACGGATGTGGTGAGAAAGGGGCCCTCCTTCACTGCTGGTGGGAATGCCAACTGGTCCAACCCTTTTGGAAAACAGTATGGGCGATTCTCAAAAAATTAGAATTTGATCTCCCATTTGACCCAGCAATACCACTCCTGGGAATATACCCCAGAGAGGCAAAAAAGTATAGTCGAAGTGACATCTGCAATTGTTTATTCATTGCAGCACTCTTTACAATAGCCAGAATCTGGAAAAAGCCTGAGTGCCCGAGAACAGATGACTGGTTAAAGAAACTTTGGTACATTTACACAATGGAGTACTATGTAGCTGTTAGAAAAGATGAAGTCATGAAATACAAGTGGTACTACATGGAAAGTATCATGTTAAGCGAAATGAGTCAGAAAGAGTGGGATAGACACAGAAAGATTGCATTCATCTGGGGAACATAAAGCAACAAAATGGGAGACTAACACCCAGGAATGGCTGAGATTAGTACCAGGAATTTTGCACCATGACTTGGAGGCCAGCCACATGTGCTAGGGGAAAAGGAAGCTCAGATAGAGAAGAAAGCACCAAATAAAGGGTGTTGTGAGGATCCTCCCAGGGTGGGAGAAGAATGCAGAAAGTAGACTATAGACCAAACATGGTTGCCACTCAATGCCTCTCTTGCAAAACACAGGACCCAAAAGAAGAGAGAGAGAACAAGGGGGAATGCCCTGCCACAGAGGCAGAGTAGGATGGGGGGATGGGGGGTGGGAGGGATGCTGGGACCTGTGGTGGTGGAGGATGGGTGCTGGTGGAGGGATGGGTACTTGATCATTGTATAACTGAAACCCAAGCACAAAAATTTGTAAGTCTATAACTGTACCTCATGGTGTTTCACTAATAAAAAAAATTAAAAAAAATCACACACACATATATACATATATATGATATGCACATATATGTTTTGTGGCACTTTTCCAAAAGAAATAAGAAGTGCATTTTATTTATTTTTTTGCTTTTTGGGTCACACCTGGTGATGCACAGGGGTTACTCCTGGCTCATGCACTCAGGAATTACTCCTGGTGATGCTTGGGGGACCACATGGGATGCTGGGAATCAAACCCGGGTTGACTGCGTGCAAGGCAAACACCCTACCCCTGTGCTATAGTTCCAGCCCCAAAAGGTGCATTTTATTATCTCCTGGTGTTATCAGCTGCCTAGAATATTTTCAATTTTCTCTTATGTCCGAACATGGCAAGTCTGAGACAGAGAAGTAATACAGACAGGGGTTAAGGTTCTTACGTCACAAGTGGCTGACACCAGTTTGATCACTGGCTCTGTATATTGTCGCCCTCACCCCTCAACACTTCCAGAAGTGATCCCCGAGCACGGAGCCCGAATAAGTCCTGAGCACTGTTTGCACAAAAACAAAGAAAAATGGCAAGTCTGGACCCTTTTCTTAATGAGCCAAAATAGTATTCCAACTTCTAGAGTATGAAGAGAAAAAGAAGAAAACAGGAAAGAAAAAAAAGACCGACTTATTCTATAAATTGCTTTTAATTAAATGACCATGTCAGAAGCATTTCTAAACATTGCATAGGTTTAATTGTAGAAATAAAGGGTGTTACTTATCCAGAATTTTCCTCTACTCACTGTGGGAACTCCTAGCATGGGGAGCTTGACAAATTAATTTTCTATAGCTAACCTCCTCTCTATCAAATGCAATTAATAACATTATCTCCTTCAAGGATTTCATGTGACAATTAAATGAAATAATACATGTAAAAGGGCTGGTATATAAGAGAAAAATAAAATCTTTCTCCCAAGTTGCAGTTTTTTTTGTTTAACTAACAGTTGGTGAACTCTTAGAGTGAGGCAATCTATCAGGTGACTTCTGTCTGAAACCATTCATAGGAGGCTGGAGTGAGTAGGGTACTTGCCTTGACTTGGCCGACCAAGATTCCATGCCCAGCATCCCATATTATGGTCCCAAGTCCCATCAGGGAAGATACCTGAGTGCAAAGTCAGGAGCAAGCCCTGAACATGCTGGGTGTGGCGCCCCAAACCAATAAATAAGTAAAGATTCTATAGACTGAATTAAGCTGGGACACACACAGGAAAGAGGTGACATGACTATATGTTCAGAAAATAAGGTAGCAATGTAGCACTGTCCTCCCATTGTTCATTGATTTGCTCAAGTGAGCACCAATAACATCTCCATTGTGAGACTTGTTACTGTTTTTGGCATATAGAATACATGACGGGTAGCTTGCCAGGCTTTGCCATGCGGGTGGGATACCCTTGGTAGCTTGCCGGGCTCTCCGAGAGGGGAAGAGGAGTCAAACCCCGGGTTGGCTGTGTGCAAGGCAAATGCCCTACCGCTGTGCTATTGCTCCAGCCCAGAAAATAAGGTACACTCTTCTTTTCTCACAAAAAATAAAAATTGGTAGCTTTCTCATGGAAGAAATGGTGGTCACAGGCAAAAAGAAAAGAGAACACCTACCCAGAGGCTAGACTATCCTGAGTAACTGTCATATATGCAGACACTAAAGATCATATAAACCACCTCAGAGTAAAGCGTTCCCTGGCAAATGGGGGCACCCTCATTCATGGAAGATCTCTTAGACCAAAGAGTTTCTTTTTCTGTCTGGAGGATTCCTCACCAAGGAACTCTCTTTGTCATACGTCATAAGTCTTTTGTCTTCAAGCAAGCCAATGGCCTCTCATCTGAAACAAATCTCACTCTCCTGCAATGACTCCACTGACTTCTCCAGCTAATATCCTACTTCCTCCTTTCACTGTTTTTTTTTTTCCTTTTTGGGTCACATCTGGTGATGCACAGGGATTACTTCTGGCTCTGCATTCAGGAATTACTCCTGGCGGTGCTCAGGGGACCATGTGGGATGCTGGGAATCGAACCCGGGTCGGTCATGTGCAAGGAAATGCCCTATCCGCTGTGCTATCGCTCCAGCCCCGTCCTTTCACTGTTTTTACTCCTTCACTAATCAACTCATAATTTACTCACCAACTACTGAGAGCAAGGGCTAGGCACAGAAAACATGGCAACACAATCTCTATATTCAAAGAAGATAAGTTACACATAAAGTTACATATACGGGAGGGAGTATATAATAAAGTCACAGATTCCTAATTCTTGCAGGATGATTTTTAGCCCCACCACTGTAGTTAAATCTAGAAATATTTATCAAGAGTTTGAGTATTGGACAATATTCTAAGCACTGAGAATTCTGAGTAAACATATTTGATATCTTATTCTGTGGGCTATTATAAAATAACAGCCTTGAGAAAAAAAATTTAATTACACTGAGCAGTGCAGAGGGCTTACTCCTGGCTGTGCTCTGGAGACCACATGTAGTGCCAGGGACCAAACTGGAGTGGTCACAGGCAAGACAAAAACCTTAATCCCTGTACTTTCTTTGGCCCCCAAGTCTTGAATTCTTATCTAAATTAAAATTCCAAAGGTCTTAACTGCAAATCTCCCACTGTTTTTTCACTGATAATTCAGCAACTCACATATCCCTCCAGTAGCCAGCAGCAACGCTACCTTTCACTCCAAAACCAAACTTCAATGTCATCATAACTCCATCTCTTTTTTTTTATTTCCTAAAGGTTGAGGAAATGATGACCTTGCATTCCTGATATTTCCTTTAATTTTCAGCGAGTTTCAGTTCAGGCTTTAGTGGCCTGAACTGCCTCAGACCACCCTCTGCTGTCACTGACAACCTGAGCATCGAGTCAGTAGGAGGAATGGATGTGCGGAAATCATCAGGAAACCCATGTCTTTTCTTGGTCTCTCTTACTCTGGGAATTAGGTCTAATTTTGCAGTTTTTTAAAACTTTTTATAATTTTATTTATTGAATCACCATGAGAGCAGTTACAAAGCTTTCGGGTTTAAGTCTTGGCCATACAATGAAACACCCATACCTTCATCAGTGCCCATTCTCCACCACCAAAAACCCCAGTATATCCCCATCCCAAACCCTCCCCCTACCTGTGGAGCAGATGATTTCCACATTACTCTCTCTCTACTTTGATTACATTCAATATTTCGACACCAGACCTACCATTATTATTTGGGATTTTACCCCAACACTCAGATCTGACGAAAAGTCAACCATAGACAATTTGTTTTCTATTGCTGGTCATGAATAACATATGATGTCGTGTGGCCACAGTAGTGGCCGCGCAAGTTTGAAATTCTGAAATTTTAACAATTAAATCTGGAGGGATTTCTTTTTTATTTATTTATTTTTTTATTAGTGAAACACCATGAGGTACAGTTGTAGACTTACAAATTTTGTGCTTGGGTTTCAATTATACAATGATCAAATACCCATCCCAAATCTGGAGGGATTTCTGCCAAAACCTGCTGGGTTCTGAGATTTGTTCCTGAGGCTCTTGGATCATGGCCATTAAGCAGTTTGATTAGGAGCCAGAGAGGCCATTCGTGGGAGGCTACTTGGGGTCTCGTTGGGGTGGGGAGGAAAGGGCCAGCTCCAACCCCATCCCATGAGGCCCCACATGTCTCCTCACTGACGGCCCAAACCTGACTGTCCAATAGCCTCTGGAAGAGGGCGGCCACCAAGCCGCCTAGGGGGAGCAGGCAGAGGAACAGCACCCTTTCCCCCCCTGGGGTGGCCCGGCAACAGTAACCTACTGCAGGGTCCGGATGCAGAGAAATACCTTTTTGAACTCCCCTTATACAGGATCTAGGGATTTGGGGCCTTAAGTGTGATTATGTTACAGCATTTGAAAAGTTACATTTTTTCAAGTATGATATAATATCTAGAGCTTAGCATTTCATATATATCTTGTATGAAATATTTTATGAAAGAAGCTTTCTGTTCAACAATTGTACAGTATTCCAAATTAGGAATTAATTTTCTAATTTCCAGGAGAACATA